CATTCACATACATATTATACTGTCTATCGATATCTTTGTCTCTAATTCTATCTAATTATTTCTATAACTGAAGAAAGATATCACTATTCACCTTAAGATCCATGTCAGCGCTTCGAGAAGAGCCTGAATGCAGTGAGTAGGGCTGTCTGCTGTGACACTTTATAAGCGGGTTTTGGCCTAGAAAGTGACGTCATGATTGCTTCGGAAATTAGCAATAACTGCAATGTGAGCGATCAAACCTCTCGAAATTGATAAGCATACTTAAAAAAACTTATGAATACGCACATACAACATACATATGCTGGATACTCAACACACACACACACCACACACACACACACAACACACACACACACACACACACACACACATATATATATATATATATATATATATATATATATATATATATATATATATAATATATTATTACAAATGTTTGTCATGCCTCTCTATATATGAATTACTTAAATAACTTCGTTTAGGCAAATATATATTTTTTCATTATCTTTTATGATATTTTTTAATGAAATATTTTCATCATACACACACACACCCACACACACACACACACACACACACACACACACACACACACACACACACACACACACACACACACACACACATACACACATATATATATATATATTATATATATATATAATATATATAATCGTACTGACCACGTACTGACGTCATGATTGCTTCGGAAATTAGCAATAACTGCAATGTGAGCGATCAAACCTCTCGAAATTGATAAAGCATACTTAAAAAAAACTTATGAATACGCACATACAAAAATACATATGGATACTCAACACACACACACACACACACACACACACACACACACACACACACACACACACACACACACACACACACACACACACACACACACATATATATAATATATATATATATATATATATATATATATATATATATATATACAAATGTTTGTCATGTCTCTATATATGAATTACTTAAATAACTTCGTTTAGGCAAATATATATTTTTCATTATCTTTTATGATATTTTTAATGAAATATTTCATCATACACACCACCCCACCCCCACACCCACCCACCCACACACACACACACAGACAGACAGACAGACACACACACACAACACACACACCACACACACACACACACACACATTATATATATATAATATATATATATATATATATATATATATATTATATATATATCGTACTGACCACGCATTACTTATTTAGCATCGTTATCACAGAGAAAAGGCGAGAAAATCAGATAATCATTAGAGGGCGTAGTTCGTTTCTAGGAAAAACACGCCCACACAGAAACACACCATGTATGGATAGAGGATTCAGAGATAGATGTATGCAGATATACATATATACATTCGTGTGCGTGTGTTAATGCCGAATGCTATATGAAAAAAAAATCACTCAAATACACATCATATTTGTAAGTTCACGCTTTATTTTCAAGAAAGACCACGCACATATATATACATATATACACATATACCTGTACACACATACATACATAAAACACATACATATAACAACCATATGTATATGTACATGTATATGTATGTATTTTATCATTTATCTATTAACCTATATATATATATATATATATATATTATATATATAATATATTATAATATATTATATATATATATATATATATTTATATATATGTAATGTATATATATATATGTATATATATATATATTATGTATATATATATATATATATATATTATAAGATACCCACATATTTATCGGTTTGTGTAAGTGTATGTGTGCGTAAGTGTATGTGTTTGCGCGCGTATTCTCACACGCATTAGATTTTCTATCCATATATAAATTATATATGTAAAATATTGTGCATGTTTGTATGTATATATTTACGGACTTTCCTTTGTAATGTATAGACCGAGCCCTTTCTAGAATAGTTATATTGGAGTACTTTAATTCAGTATTCACAAAAGAACTGCGTCCATGATTTATCTACAGATGCCTTCTAGACAACAGAGGCACTTTGGGTGCTGCCCGATAGCTTGTGTCTGATCCACGCACCGTAAATTAGACACAGTTGTATTTTGACACTTGGATCTTCTCCAGGCTAAGTAAGATCAAAATAAATCTATCCATCGATAATGTTGGTATTTTGGAGTTATATGCAGTTTATACATACGTAAAGAAGAGACAGGAGGATTGTCGGATGCAACAGGGCCGAAGACCGCTGTTGCAGGGTGCAGCACATCACATAACGGGAAATTTTGCTCGTGAACCTAAGCAGGAAGGGCTAAGGGTGATAATAAGCAGTAACTGACGGTCTGCACTCAGTGATATACCATAATCACAAGAGAGCATGTAAGGAAACAATACAAGAGTAGACAGATCATTTATATTTCTGCTTTGAAGGTGGGGATAGGTTATGATACTTAATATGAGGTTACATACAATTATATTTTAACTTTTATATGTACTTTGCTTC